TCCAGATGCTTGGAGAGAAGCCAACCAGCCTGAACTTGGTTGCCAGGCTGTAGCCCCTGCTCTCCTGCTCCTGTAAAGACTATAGCTGCCTGCTCATCTGTCAGCTGAACCTGTGAGATGATGAGTCCTGCCTGTGAGTCTCCTCCTCTGCCTCTCACAGGCCCTGGAATGAAGAGATGCTGGATACAGCGTGCAGACTGGTTTTGAATGAAGTCACCCTTCCAGGCTCTGCTCCTGGGGGGAAGGTGGAGTTCAAGAGAACCCTCATCATCAGCTTCCTCTTCAAGTTCTACCTGGAGGTGTCACAGGGTTTGAAGAGGATGGTAAGTGGGACTAGTTGTGTGAACTGTGATGGCTAAAGCAGAAGCCCAAACCCTGCCGAGGAGGTGTGGACTATAATGGATGAAAAACTGGAACACATCCTATTGATGGCTTTCCACAGGGCTGTCTGTGGATGGTGTAAGTTCAAGCAAGAATTGAGAGGAGGGCACAGGCCTGCACAGGGTTTTGCTTAACACCACTCAGTTATTTGAGGAAGAATTGTGAGGAGGGCACAGGCCTGCACAGGGTTTTGCTTAACACCACTCAGTTATTCTGACCTCTCATCTGTCTGGATAACACTGACAAAACCTGTTAATGAGGTGAAAGTATTTTCTCCCACTACTGAAGCTCACCTTCCTACATTTGATTTTCTTGTCTGGGTTAACTCCCCTCCATAAGACGATGGCGGCCACTGCTGTACTGTGAAGCAAGTCATCGCAGGAAAAATGTTTAGTGATTCAGAGGCATGCTGGGGAGAAGTGATATAGTATTTAGTAAGCCAACTGATACACAGGCATTCTTTCCCTGCTCTCCCTTATCACAGGGCTACATTATTGTTGCCTAGAGACAACACCACTGGAAAAAAAGTTCTCTGAAAACCATTTTCTGCTTCAGAGGAACTTGGGCCTCATTGTCCTCATTACCCTCATGTTTCAGTCAAGCCAATTAGACTAGAATCCATGACTGGATGCCTTGTATAGAGATCAACACAATAATATTAAATAGGGGTAAGAGTGGGAAGAGGGGAAGAATTTGATCAAAACTCATTATACTGAGTTCTCAAAGAATTAATAAAATTTCATATATTTTATGAATAATAATAAATAATACAGGAGATGTATTTATTAATAATATTCATGAAGATTTTTTAAGGTTGTCCTCTCAGTATAGATGAAAATAAATAAGAACCAATGGGCTGTATCAAATTTTTAGAGGAGTAAGTCAAAATCATATATAAATGATATATTTCTACTAGGTAACCAAAAGTGAAAAAATAAAAGTAATTGTAGACACTCCTAATGAATAGCAAATATAACAGTTCTTTGGTGAATCAGCTGATAGATTTGAACTTCTGCCATTCATGTACCTTCCTCTCTTTGAAAATAATAGCTGTTGTTAACTTTATTTTCTATTAAAATTATTTAATTATAAGAATTAAATAATTATTAAATTATAAAATAATCATAAAGTATATTGTTCAATGTTTCATATAAAGTAGTACACGGCCTACTGTTCTGTTCTCAGAAGACTCCCTCCTGTGTGGTGACAGCCGCTGTATCATCTCTACACTTCTCTGTGCCTGGCAGATGCCACCAGGCACCTTTGGAGATTTTTGCAATATTGGTCATTGGTTCTTACTTTTCCTGCTTTGAGCTTTGTCTTTTCTGATTTATTTGACTTCTGTTTTGTTGTTTATTGATGCATATGACCCTCTGTCCAAACACTTAGGAAAGCAGGTCTGTCTATGTGGACAAGGTTGAGAAAATAGTATTTGGAAAATTGGAAAATTGCTAGTGATTGGAAAATAGTCTCATGAAACAGATGGTGGGAGTCAGTGATGTTCTGATTTCATGTGGTTAACACATCACGTAGAAAGATATGTACCTGTCCTGTAGTCAGGTGATCATTAGATTTCCAGGGCTCTGAAAGGGTGAATGCTTAATCAACTCCAGACTTCAGAGTAGAGATGTTTGCTGGGAATTGTACCAGAATCCTCCCCTAGAACATTCTGGGAGATTTTAAATGTCTACTGTCATTTTCTTCTGCAGGACCCAGGTCACTATCTTAGCCTGGCAGACAGGTATGAGAGTGCTTTAGAAGATCTTCATTCAAAACATTATTGGAGAACATTAACCCACCAGGTTAGTGTGTGTGTGTGTGTGTGTGTGTGTGTGTGTGTGTGTGTGTGTGTGTGTTTAAAATCGAAGATAGCCAGGGTAGTGGTGAAACACGCCTTTAACCCCAGCACTCAAGAGGCAAAGGCAATTTGATCTCTGTGAATTCAAGGCTAGCCTAGCCTGGTTTACAGAGTGAGCTCCAGGACAGCCAAGGCTTGAAAAAGAAATAAACAAACAGACAAACAAACCAAAGAGAGGACTGCAGGGCCTTTGCCTGATGGGGACAAGTTGCCTTCCAGTGTTCATTAATACTTCCCAAGTAGGTTGAGAGTGCAGTTCAGTGGTAGAGTATGGTCAAGGCCCTGAATTTGTTCCCTTGTATGTCAAAAAGAGAAGAAGAGAAGTAACCCAAACCAATTAGAAATCCCCTCCAAAAGAGATACCTGGAAAATCTTAAATAAATAAGCCTGGTTTTGCCTTAAAGACTGCGTATTGTTTTCTTTTGTTTTGCATGGCTTCGGCCCACGGACATAAACAAGCTGTCTGTTGCTCCATGCTTCCTACCCTGACATTGTGGCCAGTTCTGAGCTGGAGCATGAGCTGCTTTGGTTCATTTCAGATAACGAGGACACACCTCTGCTCCCAGGGTCCATGGAAACACAGTGCAGGATATTGCAACAGCTGCTAGTTTGTTTTGTTCCTGTATTGGAATACTTTCCTTTCCAAGTCCTTCCTCTCCATGTGGTTTTCTGCAGATTACATTTAATTGTGAAATCAAACAAGAGTACTAAGAGCTATTTTCCCAGATGTCCTGATGAAGGCTGACTACTAGAGAGTATGGAACTCTCCATAGCTTTGTTTGTTTGTTTCTTTGTTTGTTTGCTTGCTTTTCTAGTCAGGATTTCTCTATGTAGCCCAGGGTGTCCTGGAACTCACTCTATGGAGCAGGTTGAATCCAGAGATTCACCTGCCTCTGTCTCCCAAGTGATAGGATAAAAGCCATGTGCCACCACTGCCTGGCTTTCCCTTAGCTTTCAAATGGAAGTTTCTTGTCATATTTGCTGCTATTTTTAAAAAGCAATGTAAGAGAGAAGGACATCATGTGTCAGAGTTCAAGAGGAGCGGTTTTTGTTTGTTTGTTTGTTTTTTAATGAGGGGCAAAGGATCTTAAAAAACAGGAAAGGGAAGCTGGAGGGAGACTGGACTTAAGGGTCAGAAGCAGCAGGATAGGGAGGAGAGGAAGGGAGGAGAGAGAGACAGGAAGAGAGAGAGAGAGAGAGATAGAGAGAGAGAGAGACAGAGAGAGAGAGAGAGAGGAGAGAGAGAGAGAAAAGAGAGAGACAGAGAGAGGAGAGAGAAAAGAGAGAAGAGAGAGAGAGGAGAGAGAGAGAAAAGAGAGAGAGAAAAAAGAGAGAGAGAAAAGAGAGAGAAAAGAGAGAGAAAAGAGAGAGAGACAGAGAGAGGGGAGAGAGAGAAAAGAGAGAAAGAGAAGAGAGAGAGGAGAGAGAGAGAAAAGAGAGAGAGAAAAGAGAGAGACAGAGAGAGAGAGAGGAGAGAGAGAAAAGAGAGAGAAGAGAGAGAGAGAGAGAGAGAGAGAGAGAGAGAGAGAAAGAGGAGAGGTAGGCAGGGCTCTTTTAAAAGGGAGCATGGTTAATATGCAGAGGTGATGCTCTTAGTGGCTGCAGCTAAGGCAGGCCGGCACAGATGCCCGAATACTAACAATAACATCACAAAAATATAGCAGGGAGACATTCTGTTGGTAAATTGAATAAGATTTAATTCGTGTTAGAGTTTTAAGTCAGGAATGGGAAGAGATTTTAAAACTGCTGTGCATCCGATCTGCTGACAGATTTGTTATAAAACTTACATCATGGCACACTGAACACTGGAGTTGTAGGTCCCTTGAGGTTTTGGGTTCAATATGTTCAAAAAAATTTAAATATTCCAAACTGCTTTGGAAGTGAACATTTTGAAAGTTAAAAACAGCTGCCCTTTTCCCTAGTGTTCTGTGAAATATGACTTATAGAGACCCTTATACCACTTTGGCCATGGATTGCATTTCAGAGAGGAACAAAAGCCATATGATGGACATTCTATCGAAAATTGAAATTCTTCTCAGTGGTTGATCTTGAATGGATTTGCCATGCTGGGTTCTGAGGCAATGTTTGGGGTTCAGTGTATCTCCCACATAGATAAATTTTGTTTTCATTTCCCCAGTGGTCTCAGTTTCTCTATCTGTCTCTCTCTCTCCGTCTCTCACATAAGCTTTCTTGTGAGCATGCACACACACAAGCATCCATCTGACTTCCTAGAGCTATTTCAGCTATCACAAAAAATACTTCTCCCAATTCACTTCCTTGCTTTGGAAGTTCACTTTCATCACCCTCCTCACAAACACAAGGTCATCAAGGGATTGATGATTGGCATTGGGGTCCTTAATAAGGTGGACCCTTGCTTTTTGGCTACTGTTGAGAGGCATAGATGGCATGCTGGGGAACACATGACAGAGCAAACTGTGAATTCTATACCACCAAGTAAGAAAGAGACAAAGGCTATGCTCCCCCAATGAACTATAACCTCTCCTTCTGCCTGATCCCAGAAGCACCCAGCTTAGAACCAAGCCTTTGGGAAATATTCTGCATCCAGACTGTCCCTTCTGGCTTCAGGAGATCACCTGATTGAGGGATTATCCACTTTTACCCACTGTAACTATAACCATGTGTCAGGTCAAGTGTGTTGGCCCCCAGTCTGTTCCAGCTGGCTGGTACTTTGATAAATCAGTTTCCTGATTTATCTCAAGCCTGCAACTTTTGGCTGTTGCAGGCTTGAGAATTTCCTCAGTCCTTTGGCAGACCTAACATAGTAAAGTTTCAGAAGGCTTTCTTCACAGTTGTGAAATGTTCCATTATTTATGGTAAAAGGTGTGAGCATTAATAATAGAAAGCTCCAGGAGCCTTAGAGATCCCTGTGAACACATTCACTCAGTGTCTGAGCCTATATATTACTGAGAACTTTGCTTTTTGGGATGGAAACAGAAAATCTCTGAGAGTTTTCTATAAAAACAAAAATGAGATGTAAGTAATTTTTCACTCAAATAGTAGGCAAGCTGAGAGCCTAATACAATAGGACTTTCGGTACTTTGGGGGAGATTTTTTATCAGAGAAGTCAATGTCTGCCTCTGCAGCACTTGAGAAAACATGCCTGATGATGCCTGATCATCTGTTTTTCTTTTCCTTGCCAGTCAGGTCTCTAAGGAGTGGGAGCGGGGAGCTGTCAGGGAGAAGAGCAGTTGGTGGGATCTGTGGAGCTAGTGGATGTTGGGGCAGCTTCAGATCCCTGCTCAAGCCTGAATCCCCCAGTGTGAATTTGGTTGTGTATGAAAGAGAGACTGAATTCCTTGTGCTTAGGCAAACGGAGTTTCCATTAGAGATATTTGGGATCTGCAGTTCAAAAACTAAGGGAAATAAAAATGTACCCCACTTCCATGTTCCAATGTGATTACCAAATAGTTCTCCCAGGTTCTTTGGAATAGGGAAAATAGTGAGAGTTTTCACACTCAGAAGCGTTCTGGCTTAAGCACAAATTCACATAGCTACTGTCTCATGGGAGACACACATTCTGTGATCTTCCTACTGTGTCTATAGAAATGTAAAAGTTAGACGTCTGTTCTTTATTAAACAGAATGTAGACCCAAAGCAGCTTCCTCAAGACCCAATTGGGCGTCCCGTCATGCACCTTTCTGGTATTAAGCATGCCACCGGTGAGGCCATCTACTGTGATGACATGCCTGCAGTGGACCAGGAGCTTTTCCTGACTTTTGTAACCAGTTCAAGAGCACATGCTAAGATTGTGTAAGTGTCCTCACCCACAGCTAGGAGATTCCCCTAGCTCTGCTCTGTTAGTGGGAAGTACTGGTGTGGAGAGGTAGATGGAGACTTGGTGACACCCACTCTAGAGATGAAATGGGATTGGAACGCAGATTTCCTCACAAATGTCCTGCATCGGGTCACCTTATTCTGCCCCAGCTTTGTCCTGTGCCTGGCTGATAAATGTCAGAGCAGTTACCTCCCAGACTCCTTATTTTCCAACTGCCACATTCTCAGGTCTCAGGGCCTGGCAGCTGCCTTGAGGAGCTGTCTTCTGTGTTTTCCTAGGTCCATAGACCTGTCGGAGGCGCTCAGCCTGCCAGGCGTGGTGGACATCATTACTGCAGATCAACTTCAGGAAGCAAACACCTTCGACACAGAGACATTCCTGGCCACAGATGAGGTATTGCCTTTTTGCTTTCTCTTTGAACAACTTTCCCAGTCAATGGCACCTCCTGTTCTCATAGAGACAGTGTCTAATTTGTGGTAAAAAAAAATTAAAGAATTTAGTATTCTTTGAGCAGCAATTATGAACCACTGATATTCTGATAGGTGTGAATTGAAATTTATTCATTTCCCACTTGAGTGAAGCTGATTGGTTATGTGAGCTGCTTTCAAGGCTGGGGTTGTATGTGACTCAGCTGTTGGATTGCTTGCCTGGTGTGCAGGAAGCCCAGGGATCCATCTGCGCCAGCACCATGTAAACTGTATGTGGTTATGTGTACCTGCAAATCCAATACCTGGTGGGTGGAGGCAGAAGGATTAGAACTTTAGAGTCATCTACCTCAGCTACTTAATGAATCTGGGGCTAGCCTGGTTTACATGACATCTTGCCTTTTTTTTTTAAAGGAAGGCATATGTTCGCATTTTATATTATTAAGATGTAATGTTATGCTGCAAGAAGTGTGAAAGAACAAATGAGCAGAGAGCTGTTCTTGTGATTTGCAAACTTCTCCCACAAGTCTGTCTAGCCTTTACCCCAGGCCCAGTGTGTCCACAGTGCAAGTTCCTAGTTAAGTGTAAAGTCATTCCTCATTTCTTGATCTGAAAGTTATCTCTTCCTGTCTGATTCAATGATTCATTCATCTGCACGGTATATATCCCATGGCATTTTAAATTGAACTCAGCAAAAATGTGTGGGCCCTGTCCTTAAACTTCTTCCACTCCAGAGAAGACATAAGAGACCCAGCCCTTGCTCCTTGTGTGAAGTTCATTTACATGTTGTAGACCTTCTCCTACCTATCATAATTCTTAAAGAGAGAGTTCATACTTGATTTATGTGTATATTTCATGTACTGTTTCCCAGATGGTGGAGACAAGAGGAGCTGTTCTAACATAGGCCAGTTGAAAGTTTCAAGTGATTAACTTTGGCCATGGGATCTCAGGCTACTGCAACACAACAAAGACAGGATTCAGATTCTCTATCTGAGACATGTCAGTCTACTCTCTACCCAAAAGAACATTATAAGTTCAAACAGCCCCAGCTCTAGCTCTCCCTTGAAGAAAACTTGGCCTTCCCAAGTCTGAAGTCGGGGTGAAGATTCTCAAGGCAGGACCCTGTATACTAGCAGAGGCATAGCCTTTAAATGCATATGGTACCTGTCCTCCAATGTCTACCCTAAACAAGCAGAGATCTGTGTCTCTCAGAATGTGAGAGAGGGTCACAGTCAATGGCAGGCACCAATGTGTTGTGTGCCCTCTTCTCTGTGCTGCAGGTACACTGTGTGGGTCATCTTGTCTGTGCAGTGATTGCAGATTCTGAGACGCACGCAAAACAAGCTGCAAAGCGAGTGAAGATTGTCTACCAAGACTTGGAGCCTCTGATCCTAACTATTGAGGTATGAGATCAAGCCTATGGCAGTTCAGGGGCCAAAGAGCAGGTGTGAGTGGCATGTCTGCTGCAGTGCTTCAGCATAGGAACAGGAAAATCTGATGCAGTGGCTTCCAGAGCACAGGGAATCCATTGGCTCCAAGGGTGAGCATTAGCAATTTCCCAAGAACCTGGCTCTTTCTTCTCTTCTGTGCCACTCACAGCAGTGCTTTCTCCCCTGCGCTCTCAGAGAGGGCAGCTGGAAATCTTGTGTTCTCTGTTCATGTTTGGGAGGAGAGGTACACTATTGTCCTAGTGCTCCAAACATGTCCTGAGACCCAGACTCATTTGTCCACTTCTGTCCCATGTCTGTCTCTGGATTAATGACTGAGGCCATATGAATGGAAGAGTTGTTGTCACAACTGAGATGGGGCTTGGGTAGATTTTTTTTTAAGTGAATGGGCTGTCTAGGGTGTAGAGATCTAACAAAGGTAATACCATGGTTTGGAAGGGGAAAGGTCAGAGTGCTGAGTGGGCAGCCGGGGTAGCACAAGCTGTCCTATAGCTCTGATTCATAGTGTCTCCTGCTTTGTCAGGAACACAGTGGGAGCTGATAAGATATTCCATACAGCATACTGTAGACACTACTTTACTATTGTTTAATGCACATCTTAAATACCCATGAGACGTGGATCATTTGATGCCTACGGAATTTTAGCAACTGAAAAAAATTGAGTGTTGCATTTCTATCCTAATTTTCATGCAAAAGCTGAAAAGTTATCGAGGTTGTAAGACCTGCCCCATGAAATGATAGCATTCACCTGTATGCATTCCCTTGTTCTTCCAACATGGCCCTTGCATCAATGATAACTAAAGAAGCAAGGCTTCCAGGCTCTACACGGTACCCACTCTCTGAAGTGTGTCCCACACCAGCCCAGTTTTGCCTCTCTCGGAATGGGAGAGAAGAGCCCAGACAGGAACAGATCTGTGGGGTGACTTCCTTGGCAGTAGAGGCCTCCTGTGCCACAGGCACATTGTGTGGCTCATCTTATCTTAAAATGAGGAAACTGTTGGCCAAGATCAGTGTCTCCACTTGACCTTGAGTGTGTCTCCTGTCATGCCTTATTCCTAGGAACATGGTCCTTGGTTCTGAAAATTTTCTATATTATTTTCAAATTAAAATAAAGTCATGTGAAAAAGACAAAAATAAAAAGGTTATACTGTTTTTCTAGCCAGCTTGAAATTCAAACCTTTCCCCTTTTCAGTTTATTTTCTTCTTCCATTTCGTACTGTTCTTGGTTACTTTATATGTTCTTTTTCTGAATATTTTGTTTTTGAGTAATAAATACTTTTGAAAGAAATTATTTGAGTAATGATTCATCAAAATTTTGTTTGTAATCTTTACCAGTGAATAAATATTCACTTTTCTCCTTTTTTGCTTCACAGCCAAATGAAAGTTATGCATAGCACTTTTCCCTTCCTATCTCATCCTAATGGACCCCTAATTCCTTGCAGAAAACACCAGACACTGGCATTGCATGAGAGTCACCTCTCATTTTGAAGTGAGGTCAAACTCTCCTGTGTCACTCAGTCTATGTCATGGAGCTCCACTGAACTCTCAACATACTGCAGTCCTATTACAGCCTTCCTGACAAGGACTGTTTGGGAAATTGGCTGAGTTAACCAAAGAACAATCAGCAACTGGGATTGTGGTACCCAGGCAAGCCTTATGTGAACCTTTGACCCATGACTGGTGGTCCCTGGTGCTCCACTGCCCTGTGGGAATGAAATACTCATGGCCCTGAAGGAGAAGCTTGAGTCTAGCAGGCAGAGCCTGTGGTTCCAGTCATTAGTGGTTGTAGCTGGCATTTACATGACACTTATGCCATCCATGTCTTTTAGGTCTCAATTTACAGTCAGATGTTTGTGTGCCTGCAACAGATGATTCTCTGAGAGGCCTACAGTCACACATAGTGGAGGAATGACCATGGATAGATGGCTCTGTCTGGTTCGGAGTCAGCTAAGTGGCCTTGGCTACATAGAGTGAATTAATCCCAGAGAATCATCTGCCTGGAAAACAATAGCTCCATTCTGGTTCCTGGAGGTATTAGGTATTTTCTGAGCAGGCTCAGTGTCCTTGGACTCCCTGGGCATTTGCATTTGCTTCTTGGAGAATCTCTGAAGCTTGGCTTTCAGCTTAGCCTCCCAAGGCCGATGGGAGAGTGCCTGGATTCCTTCCACAAGGGAAATGCTACCCAGACCTGATCGTTTTACACAGGCCTTGGGACACCCAAGACAGGCTTTCTAACCCAGGATGCCTCAGTTTCTACTCTCTTTTCAGGAAGCTATACAAAACAAGTCCTTCTATGGATCAGAAAGGAAACTGCAGTGTGGGGATATTGATGAAGCATTTAAAACGGTTGATCAAATTCTTGAAGGTAAAACTTCCTTTAAAATGGGGCAGCACAGAAACTTTCTGGTTTCCCTAATTTGACATTCTGCCTTCTAGAAACCATCCCACAGCCTCAGTGGACTTTGCTCCCAGAGTGTAGGTCCCTTATTCACACCTCCTTTCTCTGTGTCACTGGTGGGATCACAAGTTATGTAAGGAACCAAAAACCAGGTTTACTTCTTGTCCAACCCCAGCCTGTTCTGTAACTGTGATTTCCTTCTCATTGTTGTAAGATATTGTCACCAAATACAGAATTCTGAGTTGACTAAAGTACAAAAGTTCTGTACCACTTCCTCTGGTCCCCATGGTTACTGAGGAGAAATAATAGCATGTACTTACAAGTGTTTTTTCTTGCAAAGCAGGCGCTGACCTTTTCTCTGGCTGCTTTCAGAATAAAATTTAGTTTTGTGTTTAGTTTTTTGAAATTGAACCGTGCTGTGTCATGCCAAGGATTTGTTTGTATTTATACAGTTTGGGGGTCACTCAGCTTCTTAAATCTGTGAGTTCATATTTTCTCTAAAGTTTGGGAAATATTCAACCATTACTTCTCAAGTTCTTGATTCCTGTCACACAAAGGTCAGAGTTCTTTTACTTTGTCACATGGTTTGTGAGACTCCCCTTGTTTTCTAGTCTTTTCATTACATTTTTTGATTCCTGTGTTTGTCTGAAGGGATTCTGTCTTCCTAGGCTTCTCTCTTTAGGGTCCTTTGGCTTTCATGAGGCTGTTTGCTTTTCCACAGCTTCAAAGTTAATTATGTAACCAGCAGACAGACATCTTTTGATGTCCTCTTGGATGCTGAGAAACAAAGGGAAAGTGAGAAACACCTGTCTTCTCAAGCTGATAGCACCTAACTGACAAGAAGCAGTTAGGATACAGTATTGGAAAAGAAGTGGCAAGGCACTAAACCCGCTCAGTCAAAAGGAACACCAGTGGAGGAATTAGGAGAAAGGAGACTGTGGTGAGGGCCAGAATCACCCAGGAAATCCTACAAATAAGAAGTCTTACCTTTCCTTTGTACTGGGAGTGAGGTTTTACTTTGCTTGTGGGTGTTTTGGGATTTCTGGCTTCTCCAGACCAACACTGGCACACATGAGGTGCATGATGGCTGTTACTCTGAAAGCCACCTGCTAATGGGATCCTTTACTTGTATCCTAAAGTCCTTATTTACTTTGCTTTTTCTCTCTACCCTTTAGGAACTTCTGTCAGTTAGGAGACAGAAAGACAGACAGACAGACAGAGAGAGAGAGAGAGAGAGAGAGAGAGAGAGAGAGAGAGAGAGAGTGAAAGAGAGAAAGAGAGAGGGAGAGAGAGGGAGAGAGAGGGGGGAAAGGGAATATAGAATGGTAGAATGGATTTATTTGGGACAATAAACAAGAAATACAACGCAATATGGAGATTCATACTGAGAAGGATGCCCTATTTTCTAGAGAACAAAAGGAAAGTCAGGATTTGTTGGCAATATCACTAGCAGGACACACATACATTCTTATTGGCCTGTGTCACTATTTGGTAAATAAGAATTAGAATAAGGGACTTACAGTTAGGTCTCATTTTGGGTTGGGCTTGGGGGATGGCTCTGGAATACATATACACAGTGAGTGTTTTCCTCAATGGCCTCTTGATGCCATTTTTGTTGGATATGACATCAATGACTCCATTTTGCACAATTAACCACCATACTTCTTAAATCCCTTTACATTTAATGTTCAGATGACTAGATGTATTTAGTGGAAGCAATGGGGGAGGTCACACAATATGCCATCTCATCTTGGAACTAGAAGTCTCTTGTCACAGAATTTTCACTCTAGAAACTCAGATCTCCTTCCGTAGGGCTCTAGCTATACACGCTGACAGCCAAGCGGGTCCCCTCTACCCCTCTGCTTTCAACCTGAAAGCTGAATGTCTGTGTTTGTCACCTTCACTGTGTGGCTTCTCTGTCTATAGCTCACTTGGTGGAGTTTCTGTGTCATGAGACCATAGGAGTGGGTGGGAGAGACTTCCTGTTTTTTTCTGTCAGCCTGTAACTTCTAAGTATTTTCCTGTACCAGGTGAAATACATATAGGCGGTCAGGAACATTTTTATATGGAAACCCAAAGCATGCTTGTTGTCCCCAAGGGAGAGGATGGAGAAATTGATGTCTACGTGTCCACACAGTTTCCCAGATACATCCAGGTAACCTAGGGTCATTGCGGGTGGAGGATACTGCTAAGTGGCTTGTGCCAGCAAAATGTACTAAGAACAATTACAGGCAAAGCAACATATTAAGTACTAACAGACAATAAAGTTGGATATAACAGCCATATACTTTCCTAACTAGAAGAGGGTTTTTGTTAAAGTAGAAAGAGGTCTTTGTGGATCCATAGCTTTAAAATCAGTTATGCAACCAGCAGGCATCTTTTGATGTCCTCTTGGATGCTAAAAACAAAGGGAAATGATAGCACCTAATTGACAAGAAGCAGTTAGGATACAGTATTGGAAAAGAAGTGGCAAGGCAGTAAACCCGCTAAGTCAAAAAGAACATAATGGAGGATTTAAGAGAAAGGAGAGTGTGGTGAGGGCCAGAATCACCCAGGAAATCCTACAAAGCAGAAGCCATAATCTGCCTTTGTAGTGGAGTGAAGTTTTGTAATAGAGTCCATCCCTGGCAGCTCGGTAGCACAAACACTACTCATTCATTCACCTACTCATCTCTTCTGAAGTCATTGGTTTCCTCTGTCCATGTCCCAGACAACCCAAATGCAAAGAAGGAGATGATGCCTGCCTGAACTGGTCTAAGCATTGAGGTAAACAGTCAGGGAGCAAAGTGAAGGGATCCGGAAACAGTGGGGAGGTACCAAGGACCAGAGAAGGAGTGTGTAGATGTGAACAGGGACACTGGGGAAGGTGTAGCACCAAGAGGGAACAGATCACTGCTGTTCCTCAGCTCTTCTGCTCAATTCTCTGTGTGACAATGGGCCATTTATCTTGGGTTCCCAGCAATAAAAACAGTAGTTAAGACAAAATGATCTATAAATATTAGGATGACAAAACAGGAACCCACATCCTGAGATGACCAATTGGTCAGTGTTCACAGTCACCCAGTAAGGACGTTAAATGTAGAAACAGGCAAATAGAGAAGCTGAGGAGACCATGACCTCTTACTTTTTCAGGAAACCTCCCTGAGGAATTAGTGTGAGAAGGATACTCTGGCTGTAGTTCTGGCAGGCACAGAACTATCTCACTGCTATAGAAATAACTAGGTAATATTAATAGTGGTTTTGGCAATGCCATTCTAGCCAAATATCCACAAGTATGGTTGTAGGTGATGGTAAGGTTATTGGACATTTTCTTCTGTGTCATTTATCATAACCACATGAACCTCATGGCATGTGTATCATATTGAACAGTATGGAATCCAGTTTTGTAATGGTTGTGACCGTGGGGTACAGGCTTCCTGTTTACTTGTGGATATGGCAGTGATGGTCTTAAGCCTTGCTGAAAATGGGCCAGATTAATGAAAACTGGTATTGTCCACAGGAAGTAGTTGCCTCTACCTTGAAGCTCTCAGTCAACAAGGTCATGTGTCATGTAAGGCGAGTTGGTGGGGCCTTTGGAGGAAAGGTGGGCAAAACCAGCGTCATGGCAGCCATCACTGCATTTGCTGCCAGCAAGTAAGTGGGACAAATCTGTGAAAGAAACTGAAAGTGAAATGAAATCTTTTTTTATATATAATTTTTTTCAATTTAAATTAAAAAGAAGCTTGTTTAGCATGTCAATCCCGGTTCCCTTTCCCTCCCCTCCTCCCAGTCTCTCACCAACCCTCTATCCCATCTCCTTTCTGCTCCCCAGGCAGGGTGAGGCCTTCCATGGGGGAATCTTCATATTTTGTCATACCATTTGGAGCAGGGCCTAGACCCTCCTCAGTGTGTCTAGTCTGAGAGAGTATCCCTCTATGTGGAGTGGGCTCCCAAAGTCCATTTGTTTACTAGGGATGAATACTGATCTACTACGAGAGACACCATAGATTAACCAGACCTCCAAACTGACATCCTGTTTCAGGGGGTCTGGAACAGTCCTATGCTGGTTTCCCAGCTATCAGCCTGGGGACCATGAATTCCCCCTGGTTCAGATCAGCTGTTTCTGTGGGTCTCTCCAGCCTTGCCTTGACACCTTTGCTGGATTCCAGGAGTTCAGCCCAGTGTTTAGCTGTGGGTGTCTGCTTCTGCTTCCATCAGCTGCTGGATGAAGGCTCTAGGATGGCATATAAGGTAGTCATCAATCTTATTATCGGAGAAGGACATTTAAGGTAGCCTCTCCACTATTGCTTAGATTGTTAGTTGGTGTCATCCTTGTATTCTCTGGACATTTCCCTAGTGCCAGATTTCTCTTTAAACCTATAATGGCTCCCTCTATTATAGTATCTCTTTCCTTCTTCTCCTCTCTTCTTCCCCCAACTCAATCTTCCTGCTCTCTTTCCTCCTCTTCTCCACTTCTCTTTCTCCTAATTCCTTCTCCCCTCCCCCATGCTCCCAGTCAGCTCAGGAGATCTTTCCCCTTTTCCGGGGGAACATGTATGTCTCTCTTAGGGACCTACTTGCTTCCTAGCTTCTCTGGCAGTGTGGATTGTAGGCTGGTAATCCTTTTCTATATGTCTAAAATCCAAATATGAGTGAGTACATATCATGTTTGTCTTTTTGTGACTGGGTTACCTCACTCAGAATGTTAATACTGGCACTTGTGGTAAGAAAGAATCTCAGTTATATTATATATAAGATCACACATGACGAAAAAACCACACAATCAAGATGTCAGTTTTTAAAATGTCTGTCTTTCTTTATCAAGGTCCATAAGAACCAAATAAGTATCAATTACTGAAAAATATGGTGAAAACCATTGAAAAAATATTACTATACTTGGGATAGGTGCTGGTGGCCAACACCTTTAATCCCAGGTAAGCAGAGGCAGATGGAGCTATGTGTGTTCAAGCACAGCCTGGTCTCCAGAATGAGTCCCAGGACAGTCAAGGCTACAGAGAGAAACCCTGTCACAAAAAAAACCAAACCAAACCAACCAAATGAATAAATGAAATATTATGATAGTTGGGAAGTCAACAGAAACAGGTCCTAAGTGGGTGGGGTTACTTGTCCCAAGCATTGAGAGTCTGGGCTATATGTTTATGGAACAGATATGCAACCTACTTAATCTCCCCAAATCCACCAGCCCTCCTCTCTTTCCCTCTCTGCCTCCACCCTGTGTGTTTGTCTTTCTTTCTCTCTCTTCCCTCTCTCTTGAATTAAATAGATACTTTTTGGGTTAAGCTTACATTTATTTATCTCACTGTTTTTCAAGAAGTATGTTAACACCTCACCACAGGAAATTACCTTCTAGGTGTAATATCACTGCAGAATAATAGCTCACATGCTTGCTTGTTTCATTGTTCTGTATTTTCTGTCTCAGACATGGCCGTGCAGTCCGCTGCATTCTGGAAAGAGGAGAAGACATGTTAATAACTGGAGGCCGCCACCCTTACCTTGGGAAGTATAAAGTGAGCAGAAGAAGGAGTACGGGAAGATTTGAGCTGCAAATAGAACAGGCTATAAATGCACATGGCAGCATTTGGCTGCTCTGATGGGGGAAGGAAAAGGGCATCAACACATGTGTCTTTGTCAGGGTGTCTACTGCTGCCATGAAACACCATGACCAAACAACTTAGGAGGAACAGGTTCATTTCACCCACATTTCCACATTACAGCCCATCATTGAAAAACAATTAGGACAGACATTCAAGCAGGGCAAGATCCTGGAGGGAGGAGCTGATTTAGAAGCCACGAAGGGATGGTTTGCATCCTCTGGTTTTCTCAGCCTGCTTTCTAATAGTGCCCAGGACCATCAGCCCAGGGGTGGCACCACCCACAATGGGCTGGGCTCCCTCCCATCAACCACTAGTAATTACTAATATCCTACACCTTGTCTACAGCCCAATCTTATGGAGACATTTTCTCATTTGAAGTTCCCTCTTCTCGGATGAACCTAGCTGGTGTTACATTGACATAAAAACCAGCCAGGACAAAACAGTAGTCTGTTTTTATACTTCTTATGCTCCAGTTTAATTACCATCCAGTTCAATGAGATTTCCTGCTTTGCTCAGAGATGTCAGCTAGAGAGAGAGAACCAGCTAACATTGTGCATTTCAGAGAGAATAATTGGAAAACCTGTGACTGTGTATGTCCGTGAAAGTAGATCTGATAACCATTCTTTTCTCACATAGAAGGTAAAAATAGACTAATTCCTGGAACAATAGTGCTATATGAAATTGCAATTATTTGCAAATGGTTCCTCATTTTTAAAATATATCAAGCATATCTTGAAAAACCATGATGGAGAAATTCCTAGAAAAGTTTCTATCATAGAAAATAATTATCTTTTACCTTTTAGAAGACTATTTTACATTTCAAAGTTGCCTGACAACTTTAAGACATAACCAAAATCTCTCTGGATCTTAAACCTTTATTATGTTATTTCTCATTTAGGTAAAAGGCTTGTAGCCTGCATAGATTTGGGGAGGGAGGACTTGCTCCAATCATTCAGGGACTTGAATCTCTAATGGCACCTTATCCCTTTAGACTGTACTCTCAAATGTTGTATCCACAAGGTGTGTATGACCATTTCAATTCACATTTAAGTTAACAAAATACAAAAAAAAAAAACTAAGGTTATGGTCTATTTTTGCACTAACTATTTCAAGTACACACTAACCACCTGTAGTTATTGACTACCATATTGTACAAGTATACACAGAATATTGTCATTGTCCCAGAGGGTTCTATTGGAACCCTGTGCAGAGACTCTGAGTCCTCCACAGAGGCATCTACGCAAGGCAATAGGCATTGGCATACTCATGTGGACGATACATCCATTGCCAAACCTCTAAGTGGTGGACCTTGCTTCTGTCCAGACCTCTTTGAGACTGACTTTGCTACTTAGTTGTATTGGTGGCTAGGAAATGGAGTCTTGTGTGCCCAGATGCCTGTCTGGGGCTGGTTCAGAGCCTCAGAATAACAACTTTAGTCTTGACTTCACACAGAACACTGAGACTGAGTAAAGTGTTGATAAGTTCCATGCTGTAACTGGCTTGAGTACTTATAGGAGGCTCATGCAATTACTATGGACAAGATGGCCTGAGAGCGTGAGGATGGAGCAGGTGGCTGCAACAGGCAGGATGAAGAGACAGGGAGCATTTGAGTCAAGACACAGTTGTAGGATATGGAACAGATGAGCTCCAGAGCTTATACTCTATAAACTGAAACAGTATTTGTTGAAAAACTTAGTACCGCATGATGAATAAGGCCACAGAACACAGCCTAGAGATTTATAAAAGAAAAAAAATGTGGAAGCAGTGAGAATTCTGGAAGGAAAATGATGATCTTGTTTGTGTGAGTGTTGGGGGAGAAATGAGAAGAAGACATTGAAACAGAAATGCCCGTCACCTAACTGTAGACCATAGAGGCCATCACCATGGCAGTGATGTTCAGGGAGGGAGAGTGGTGTGATGATAGGAAATGAGATTAATATCCATGTAGTAATATTGAGCACTTGCTTTTTGTTGATCATCTACCTATACTTCTGCATATCACCTGATTTATTTCCATTTCAAATATATCCAGAGAATTTACATTTTATTTACTTTTCCTGTGGCTGTTTCAAAACACCCTAAAAAAAAAAAAAAAACCCTTAAAGGCATAAGGATTCATTTTGACTTGTAGTTGGTGGATTCCACCCTTCTTGGCAAGGAAGAGCTTGAAACAGCTGCTCACATTGCATCAGGGTCAGGAAGAATAAAACTGTGAGAAATGTGCTCAGTGACTGGTCTCCTTTCATGCAGTCTAAGACTGAGCCAAGGGAATGATGCTCCCCATTGTTATGGTTGGTCTTCCCACTTCAGTTAACCCAGTCAAGAACATCCCTCCCAAGGACGTCCAGAAACTTGTCTCCTAGGCGATTCTAGATTTGTTGAACTGATAATTAACACTGACTACAGCACAGTATTTTCCTCAGATCACTATGTCAACTCCACATCCAAAAAACACCTGTCAGAGCTGAGTCCATGAAGCTTTTGCAAAGTATGACTAAGCAAATATTCTTTAGACTTGACCTCTTGAGCCTGTATCAACAGTCAGTTCTCCCCTGCCCCCAGGTTGGATTCATGAATGATGGCAAAATCTTGGCCTTGGATATGGAACATTACTGCAATGCAGGGAGCTCCCTGGATGAGTCATTATGGGTAAGTGTATGAAAGGAAGTTTTCTTCCTCCAAGAGTGTTACATAAAATGATTTCACTCAGGAACTAGTCACTCTTTACCCAACACTTAATGAAGGTATGGAGACTCTCACTGTAGGATAGCATAGAGTTTCTCAGAGCAAACGACAAGTGTAGCCCAGAGACCTTGGCCAAGCGTCCATCTGTGTTTCTTCTCTATGTTTCCCACACCTATATGTTCTCAGTAGAGCAGGCTTTCCCAGCTTTGTCCCTGTGGCTATTTTCAATTGTGTAACTCTTCATGGGGCTATCCGTGTATTATGATTTAGTCACCAGCATCCTTGAGCTGTAGACATTATTGGCATGCTACCTCCAAGTCTCAGCAGCCACAACTATTTCCAGACATTGCTAAATATGCACATTTGGTAGATGGAAGGATTTCCTCTGGTTGAGTATATGTGCATTAAAACAGACACCAGAACTCCTTTTAAAATTTTGACACTGTTGAAAGCTATTTCAAGAAAAAAGAAATATCTACACTGTCTCATTCTATTGGACCACTGCTTAGGAGCTATAAACATATCCAAGGCTTTGGAAATTGAAAGAAATGCATTTGCTTTCAAGTGTGAAAATTAAAGGTAATAATTGGGAAGGATTGAAATTCTTTAAAATTATTTTGCAGCAACATATATTTAACTGGGGTGTCACAACTTTTGGCATTTTGCTGAGCTGTGAAGAGGGGAGCTATTTCCAGCCTGGTTTCATTGTGAGGTGTCTGCATGGTGGGACATGCACAGAAGGCCAAAGTGTCTCACATCCACTCTGGGTTTCTCCAGGTGATAGAAATGGGACTTCTGAAGATGGACAATGGTTACAAGTTTCCCAACCTTCGCTGCCGGGGCTGGGCCTGCAAAACCAACCTTCCATCCAACACGGCTTTACGTGGGTTTGGCTTTCCTCAGGCAGGGCTGGTCACCGAAGTCTGTATCACAGAAGTTGCAGTCAAATGTGGGCTGTCCCCTGAGCAGGTAACTATAGTCTCCTGTATAAAAGATGATGACTGTCTGAGACTGCAGTGTTTGGGATCAATCAGGTTGAAGAATTAGTGACGTGATCCAGAGATTAAATATTTGCCAGAGTTTGCCCAGTCATCCAGTTAATACAGTCAGTAACCAAGGTTAGTGGTCTTGCCTTACCAGTGCTCCACCTTATAAAAACTGAGAAACACTATTTTTAAGATTATGAATTGGATTTTCATCTGGTTAGTTAGAGTATCCCATTATTGGGGTTGTATTATAATTGTGTATTGCTATAAAAATGTCAGCAGATTGTATACATATATATATGTGTGTATATATGTATATTACACACCCATCTGTATCTATTGTCTATGTATATGTCTATGTCTATATCTGTATGGTCTGTTTCACTGAGACTTTAGATGTCTAAGACCATGAGGCTGGTATCAGTTTGGTTCTGATGATTGCACAGCAAGTGACAGTGCAAGATCTTGTCCAGAGGGGTCACATGGCAGAACAAGAGGTTAGAGAAAGGTTTAGCAATCAAACTCACTCTTTGCTAATAATTCAATCTCGTGGGAAGTAATCAGGGTCTCATGAGAACTACCAAGTCTCTAGATAGGACATCACTTCCCACCTGGCCTCACCTCTGAAATGTTCACCATCCTAACACCACTATTCTGAGAAGCTCACATCACATGTTCCTGGCTTTGGGAGATAAACCACACCTAAACTATAGCAACAATGTAACCATCCTTGAGGCCTGACAAACCCCCCTTCAGTGTTTCCCTATTATCTGAGGCAGCTGACACAGGTATCTTCAGCTTGGAGGACAAGCCTTCAGGCTGCACAGGACTTGTAAGGAATCCACAGCATTGGTGGGAACTGAGACTTTTCTATGTGAGGGGATTAGGCAGGAAAAAAGCCCTCATACACTGTCTTCATGGTTCCTTTCTTCATTATTCATAGTTCTGTGCTATTTCTGCATTCTAGCTCTATCATTTTATTCTTGATGTTTCCCTTTCGACTTTCTCACTCTTGATGTTTTCTTTCTAGTCCCTTTTAGTTTCTTCTTCCTCATCTGTCCTTTTCCTTACAGCTTATATACCCCAATACAATATTTTAGGCAATGCAGGGGCAACAGGGGAGTTACATTCCATTTCTCAAGTGAATGAATGCATATAAAAGATTAAAAACAGAATCATTCCACTAACACATGCAATATGTCTAAGTAACTTGTTACAGAGCAAGGAAAGAGCAAGTCTTTCATTGGCAGGCTGCAAATTGTGGTTGTAAAGAAAGAATCAATCACTTTATTATCTGTCTTGAGAGGTAACCTTATAAGGAATTTTAAAGTTGTAATAAACCTAACCTAATGAAGAGCACAAAGAAAAAGAGAAAATTGTGCATTTATATCCTATATAAACATTTTGAACATAACACCCTGTAATCAGGGCTAGTAATTTCCAGATTCTCTTTGGGTCCCGTAGGTGCACAGTGAGTGCCAGGTATAGGATAAAGAGACCTTGGGATGTCATAAGTCCTCAAGTCCAGGCTCAGGTCAACATTTCTGACATACCATAAATCTTTTACTATCAGCTCAAATGAGCACTCCCAAGAAACTGTGACACCTCAGTGCAGTGATATAATGACCACCACCATCCCTGCAACTGCAGCACTGACCACACCCTTTTGGGCATTGTCTCAGGTGTGGACTTGACTGGTTAAATGGAATAGGATTGCAGCTGGGGAATCCTGGTTGCAGGGTCTGCTTCCTTGGAGCATGTGTCTGGGACAGTCACTTATTCCTGTGTAAGTTATTTTCTCCAAATAAACTCCACTTCATCTTACTGGCTAAGCATCCTGATTTCCATGCCCATACCTTAGCACTTTAAATATCAAAATGAACTTTCTGCCATGTGTGTAACCCTTGACCACAAAAAGAAATTTGTATCCCTATCTCAGAGCTATAAATTCAAATTATTTTCTGTTGCCATGACCAGCTAGAACTTCTCTCCCCACAGTGTTTCTGAATAAAAGCTCTTTCTGTTTCTATACCTCCGTTCTCTGCTCCCTGTCACTTACACAGGACACAACACAACACTTCTATACAGGGAAACAGAGAGTCTTTAGAATGGATATCCATATGAGAAAATGGAGGTCAGGAATCTGTGAAGAAAATTAGTCACTATCCTAGGTTATCAACCAGACCAACCAAGGAAACTGTGTGCAGCAATGAGGCTGCTTTACTATTTCAGCCCTGACCCAAGAAATCACACAGCTCAGCTCTGTGTCCTTGTAAATTTTAGATTATTCTTCTGTGGTTGTTTAGCTTAAAAACCATTTGCAAGGCATGTGGTCTAAAGTAAAGTTATTTTAAAGCTTTGCTTCTGCTAATGGTGCACACCAAAATCTGTGACTGGGTATTTTCATCATTAAGAGAATCAGAGCCAGCCTGGTTGCTGGGTTAATTCAATTGTTCACCTTGATTGTTAACCAGAGCTGTGTTCTAAAGCAGCTCCTTAAGTGGAACTCATAGCCCTTAGTTGTGAAACATATCCTAGTATATATTTTTATTTTTAAAAATTCTGCATAAGCTATCATTATTATTATCACTTAGACAATACAGTAAAGGGAGGAATAATCTTCTTGACAATCTACAAATAAAAATGCTCAGTAGATCCAGATGTATTCTTGAGATAAACACACTAAAATACATGCAGGGGGGATCTCTCCACATCTACTCATAGCATGCCTGATGCCAAGAAAAGATTGTAGCAGCAACATATAAAAGCACAACAGAAGCAAATGACATTCCAGACTTTGTAGCCTTTCTTAACAATGTTCACCCATCAGAGAGTTTTCGTGTTCTTGAATGTCAATTGCCAACTCCTGTATCTATGACATGGCCACCAGTAACAAGGTATGTCATTTCAGTTATTAAGCTGTCACCTGTTGAGTCTTTTAAGTCTTTACCTCAACTTCATTAATTATCAAAGATAATTCTCTTCTTGGTGCCTCATCCACCCCAGGTTCTAGCATGGAGTTTAGGTAGGAAGACATGCTGAGCTGTCTCTCCCTCTTCCCTCCTCCTCTGCATTTGGCCAGAGAGGACAAAGGATGGAAAAGAGTACCTGGGAAATACACACACACACACACACACACACACACACACACACACACACACCCCACAACTGTTCCCAATCTGTTTACTGTCCTCTCTTAGACACCTTATGCAGATGGTCCTTAAACAGAATTGCCTCTGGCAACCACACTGCTCTGCCTAGTGTTCAAGGAGGCTTGGAGAGCCCAAGAACACAGTTCATCTGTGACCCTAGGCAGGAGCCATCTGCTTTATGTCTCTTAAACTTGTAGGGGCCCTTGTCCCCCTTGTCCTGGCCCTCTGACCACAGCCTCTGTCCTTGTAATGTTGGTAGCAGGAGAGAGAGGGAATTACACAAAGACATGCCTGCCTGTCCAGAATGGTCTCTTTAATCTGCTTTCCCTCAAGTGGCATACTGTATTAGGTTCCACTTTCCCACTTACAGGGATCAGGGCAATTGGTAGAGGGGTGGCTGGGGAGCGTGTGTGTTTATAATGGCCTCTATCTGCTTGTAGAGGGTGCTGGCCGGAACTGTGAGGTTCTCTCAACTAGGAAAATAAGGCCCCGGTGTCTTTGATGTCAGCTGAGGGGCTTAGTTGCCAGTTCTGGAAAGACAGTAACAGTCTACTCAGGTAGTCAACTTCTGGGGATAGAACCTGCTCATTTTGGGTTCCCTGCCTAAGACCTACCCATGACTGAGCCATCATAGATAGTGGAAGGAACTCATGAGGCTTCACTCTGCCTTGAGGGACTAAAGGCTGTTAATGGTCCTAGCCGTCAGTTATATTTAAACAAATATCCCTATTGGTTGGCTTTGGGAATAAGTGGTCCTGTTTCACTACAGCATCTAAATAACCCAGGTTGCATGGCCCAGGCACTTTTCAACAGATGCCCAAACATACAAGAACTGAGAGTCACGAATGTACCTGGAACATACTGAGATACAAGGGAATACAGGTCAAGGACTCCATCCTATAAACGTGCACAAGAAAAGCATACAAAAAAGAGAGTCTAGCATAGTTATGAGGTTCTTAGTGGAGGATGAGGATGATGTCATGCCTTGAGAAGGACCGTAGAAACAACTAGGCAGAACATATGTCGGCCCTATAGGATGGGCAGAAATGGATGAAGAAGACAGTGGGTGGACAAGACCATCTCTTCTGAGCTTCCCTCACTGTTTAATCTCCTTTCCTTTCATAGGTTCGGACCATCAATATGTACACGCACATCCATAAAACCCCCTACAAGCAGGAGATCAATGCCAAGGCCCTCACTGAGTGCTGGAGAGAATGCATGGCCAAGTCTTCCTACTCAATGAGGAAAACAGCTGTAGGGAAATTCAATGCAGAGAATTCCTGGAAGAAGAAGGGGCTGGCCATGATCCCCCTGAAGTTTCCTGTGGGTATTGGATCAGTAGCCATGGGACAGGTCAGTTCTTGAAACACAGTTTAAATGTCACCTGGCAGGGGCTTGGCAAACAAAGGTGCTGGGAAATGTCCCTCACATTGATTAGTCATATGTCGTCACTGTCCAACTGTTAAACCCCACCCAGGTTCTGATTAGCAAAGTCTGTATTAATCTGGGACAGGAGAACTTGACTGCTTATGGCCCCACCTTGGGGAGGAACATTCTTGGTGGAAAATCTTGGGGGACCCTGATTTTCTGCTGGCTGGTGCTAAGCAGCTGAGAAAACTGCTCAAGGTCCTGGGTGTTCATGTGTCCAGTGGAGACTCCTCTTCCAGACCCTGGGGGCCCTTTTCCCTCACTAGGTAAGGGTTAATTAAACATGGAAAAGTAAATTATTTGACGTTTTAAATGCAATTTTAGGAGTTGGTTCTCCTCATAACTGTTAAAAGGGAAGACTGAGAACTGTTGCTATGGTTCCTTATCTGACTAAATAAGTCTTTGCTTAGCTACTAAACCCCACTGTGTGTGTGTGTGTGTGTGTGTGTGTGTGTTTGATGTGCCTATGTGTGCGTATCTTACACACACACAAATAAAAATAAAATAAATCTTTTGATTTAGTCACACTCTACCCTCTGGCAAACCTACAAGAATTATGTTCTCATTTTCAGTATGAGAACACTGAAATCTGGGATTTCAAACACCTCCCCTGCTCCCGGAATGTAAAATCTAGGCCAAGTCTGACACTGGTGTGCAGGCAGCTCTGGGGAGTGCCTACTCACAGCACCCTTTGATGGAAGTGAGGTGGGAGTCAGCTGACCTGAGGAGAGAGGAGGCAAGGCCAGTGCTGCAGCTTCATCCTTAGAGCTGTGAAGAGCCCCCCCAGGGAACCCTGTGCTTTAAGCTGTACTGAGGGCTGTGAAGGGTGGGGATCTGTCACACACCAAACACTTGCTGGTAGGCACGTCCTGAAAGGCTGTGTTCTGAAGAGAGCAACTAGAGGAGGGAACTAGGGATGAGACTGGAGCCCACCCCCACCCCACCCCTTCCATGGAAGGCCTGCACTGGTGGGTTTGTCTAAACCGGGCCTGATCTCATCTTGATGGTGATTCTGTCTGTCTTCTGTCTGCTGGCAGGAGACACAGGGGGCTGGCAATCTGTTTCTTAAGATATTGTTTAATAATTGGTGGCATTTAAAGATATGTATATCCAGGATATCCCGCCCCCCTCTGTCCCTGGGCAGAGCAACATTCAGGTTTATGTGTAGAGATCCTTTGCTGAAAATGCAAATCTGTGCACACATAGGTTGAAGGGAAGGGGAGTAACTCTCCATACATGTTCCCATAGTTAGAGGTCATCCAGATGGTGAGAGAGAGAGCCAGACATGACCTGAGCATGCCTAACTCCAGATCCCTGTCTTCACCGCCTCACACTGCCTTCCCTAGCAGAAGCTGCTCTCACCCAGCTGCTCAGGACTTCAAATGCACCTCACCTAAAGATTCTTTCATGTTTCAGAGGAATACTGAAACATGGCTGCAGTATTTGGGAACTCTTAAGATTTGCACTAATTTCTCACCAAGTGGACAAAATTCTCTCCATGCATTGTTGAACCTTCTGGCTCAGCACTCTAGTGGTGTTGGTTTTGTGACTGGAGCTTTGTGGAATTATCTTTTGTGATGCTAACAGTGAGCCATGTGGTGTGTCACTTAATGTAACCTAATTTGACTCTTTTAATAGCCTAATAGTTCGCAACACCACAAGGAACTAACTACTCAGCAGCCTCTGATACAAATGCTGCCCTGTGCCCACAGGGAGAATGCTCTCACCAGCAGGGTCATGCAATGGAGAGCACATGAAATCCCTTGCTGTTGGAGCTTAGTCACACATACTAGGTTCATGTATGTATCCCAAACTCATTCACTAGAGCCGACAAGACAAAATACAAAACCTATAAATTTATGAAATAGATCAAATAACAGTACTCTTGCAAATTCATATATGAAGTATGTTGAGTGCTAGTACATCTGAACATTGTGTCCAATATGAAGGGATGGCTCTGGATCCATCCTTACCCGAGTACTGTGAAATGAAATAGAACAAAGCCCAGAGTGACCGTTCCATCTGGAAGCACAGTGCAGGCATCCAGCTCTGGGCTCTCAGAAGAGGATACCTCTGCTTATGTTTCATTTGGGAAGACATGCCAGGAACATGAAATGGTGTCTCCAGGAGTCATGTAAACACATTCTGTCCCATCTTTTCAGGGCCCTTATGTGTACTATTATGACCTGATATTCTAAGACTGTGTGTTTGGGCACTGAGTGCCTTTACCCTCAGACACAGGCTATCCTTATTTTGTCAAATCATCACTACTTACACCTGTGTTTACCAGGAAGGTGGACATTGTCTTCTCTGTCATAAGTATCTTCCTTTGAACAGTGGTGATTTCAACTTGTTCACCAGAATAACACACAGATTTGGATGTTGATAAAGGAGCAGTTCTCCGGGTGTGATCCACAGGCCACAAGTGGATGTTAAGTCCTTTTATCAGGCAAAGAATTGATCTTGGAAAACAGTCCTCTGTGTAGGTTTATCTGGACTGATGTAGAGTTCATGAACTTTGACTTGTGACCAGGGATACTTAGAAGTGATCTGAATAATAGAGTCTTGGGAGAATTTTAGGTTTATAGAGTAGAAATTACCTTGTTACCAGAATGTTCTACAGATATCATCTTTATAAATCCCCAGTCAAGCCAGGCACCCTGGAGAGAAAGAAGTGTTTGTTGTGGCTCACAATTTGAGGGCACAGTCCACTATAGTGGACAGTAGCTTGAGACAGATGGTCACACAGCATCCATATTTAGGAAGCAACTAGCAGTCAATAATGAGTCTTTCCTCATTTTATGCTTTTAATATAGTTAAGGAACCCAGAATGTGGAAATTCAACCTAATGTGAATTCACTCACTTCAAGCAACCCAAACTCCTGACTTCTTGGTTAGAATGCCCAGAGATTTCTCTCATGAGTGATTTTCGGTCCCTTTGACTTGACAATCTAGATAAACAATTGCAGGTAGCACAGCAAATTCACCTCCACAGTGGACAGTTCTAGCCCAGTAAGACTTGGAAGAAGCCCCATGCTTGACAGTTTTAACATGCATTCACTTAGTCTAGAAGCATCTGAGTAGGCGAACTTTTAATTCTGTGAGCAGCTCGCTTGCTTCTGCATCCTTCAGAGGACCTGCACAGTCAGGTGATGACTCCAGACATCTGCAGACCTGTGCCAAGATGGTTTAGGTCAGTGTTTCTCAACCTGTGAGGTGCAACCCCTATGACGGACACATATTAGATATTTACATTACCATTTATAGCAGCAGCCAAATTACAGCTGTGAAATAGCAAGGAGATAATTTTACAATTTGTGGTCACTGCAACATGAAGAACTATATTAAAGGGTTGCCACATTAGGAAGTTTGAGAACCACTGGTATAGGGTAGTCCTAGGTCATTTTGCAGCCAAAACAATGAATGAATGTGTCTCTGTGTACCTTATTTGGATTTGCATTTGGGCATTATCACCATACAACACTTGTCCTGCCTTTGGCCTGGCTCTGGTCGGATGTATGTATGTATGTACGTATGTATGTATGTATAATATATATAATATATATTATATATATTATACATATATATTATAAATATATATAAGTATATATTATAAATATATATAAATATATTTATATATAAATTTATTATATATAATATATATATAGTGTGTGTGTGTGTATAAAGAGACAGAGACAGAAAGAGACACAGAGGCAGACAGAGAGACCGAGACAGAGAGAGAGAGAGAGAGAGAGAGAGAGAGAGAGAGAGAGAGAGCGCACAAAGCCCCTCAGTGACATACTTCCTCCAGCAAGGCAACATCTACTCTAACAAGGCCACACTTCCTAATCTGACAGGGGTCAGAGCCTCTTCTGATTTGCTTCTTTTCAACCCCTCCTCAGGCAGCCGCTCTGGTTCACATTTATCTCGATGGCTCTGCACTGGTCACTCATGGTGGGATTGAGATGGGGCAAGGTGTCCACACTAAAATGATTCAGGTAAGAATATGAACTCTGGATTCTGTGGAGTATGTCCTCACAGATGTTTCATGAGAGAAGACTTAAGCATATTTCTCTGTCCCAAAATAAAATGGTAGGATGCTGTAAATTTGACTGCTTAAGCATTGAACTATTAGCCGAAAGTATTAAACAAGTCAGTTTCATTACTGAACTCTAGAAAAGCATGTGCCAAAGATGGGTTTGTTTCATTGCTAAAGAGGGCTGTGTGTTTGCTTTCTGCTTTCATTTGGATGCATTGGCAACTGAATTGTCCTGTTATGGTGGACAACTGAATTGTCCTCCCAGTTTTCGCTGGGAGGTGAAAAATGTGGAAATCCTGATGGATTTTAATGTTTCTTGCCCATTTTAGATTAAGAGTTCTGAACAATCAATAACATAAATCAGACTTGATAGCTCCACCCAGTGCTTATTAGCATTTCTGTGTTAGGGTCCTTCTATTTTGTCTGATTTTCTTACTGTAAATTGCTAAGATGTTGCTGGTGTGATTTTTTTGATTGTCAGGTTTTTTTCAACTAACCTTACAAGAATGAGCACTGCTTTGTGTCATTGCAAATTCTTCACAATTGCCCGTCATGGTGAACTGGCCTATAATCCCAGCACTTGGAGGCTAAGGCAGGAGGATCAAACTAAGGCCAAACTTGGCCACATAGAGACATCCTGTCTCAAAAACAACACAGACAAAGACATTCTTAACAATCATGATTTTAATGGGTGGTAGGGGAATGCATTTGTAACTAACTCTACCCCAGCTATTGAGCTATTCAATGGATTTTCCTAAAAGAAATCTATTGTTTCCTTAAACTGCTACTCCAGGGTAGGAGTTACTAGATCATGGGGTATGAGTATTTGGAATTATAGACACACATTACTAAGTTGTTTTCCATTAAGTATCTGTTGTGTTGAGCCTTTAAACTAACAATAAATTTGATGAATTGTTGAAATAATTCAATCATTTGCCAGGTGAATGAAAGCAACTCAAGTGGTAAAATTTAGATTTTCTTTTTAATTGTAGGGACTGGGGATGTGTAGGATTTTTAGTTTGCTTATTTATTTATTTATTTATTTATTTATTTATTTATTTATATTTGTTTTCATGCTGCTAGTACCTGAGAGTTTTCTAGTTCTGCTTTTAAGTGAGATTTCAGTGTTTTCCTTCTTGCACCAAAGACCTTATATTGAGAGCCTGTGACTCTGTCTGGATGCTTTCTGAGAGCCTTCTGTTATGGAAGGCTCAGGATGCCTGTGTCCTTGGAAAGCTTGGACAAACTCTGTCAAGCATACTGCTAGCCAGAGAGAGATCAATCATCTAACATGATTTTCTCCAGCACTAAATGTATAGACCAAAGCAACCTATAAGCCCCATGCTGGCCCTCAATCCCAGCATCATCCCCTCCTCTGTGATGCATGTGTTCCTAAGGCCATGTCCTTCCTGAGAGGTGTTCTTTTCCTGCAGTGTGGCCAGAGATGGGCATAGAAGCCAGACAGCTCCTGATACAATAATGTCCTCTTTGGTAGAATTTTTCAAAGTGTGGTGTGAGAGTAACTTGATAGTGTTGATTTCATTAATACAGAGATGTGGATGAAGTTTTTACTTTTGCATTATTGTGGAGCCTTTTCCTGATGAGAAAAATCAATGGAAACAAAAGTGTTTAAAACTTGGAGTCCACACTAGCTACCAGGATTTTAGAAGAGAGGGGTTTTTGTGTCTTAAGGAGTTCATGGTTCCGCTTCTTCATTCTTGCCGTGCACATAAGGGCTACACACGTGTGCTATGCCAGCCAGGCATGTGCACAGGTGTCCAACTAACCAAAGTGTTTGAAAAGAAACTTATGTTCAAAATTCTAGGTGGTCAGCCGCGAATTAAAGATGCCGATGTCCAGTATCCACCTGCGTGGGACAAGCACAGAAACTGTCCCCAACACAAATCCCTCTGGAGGGTCTGTGGTGGCAGATCTCAATGGGTTGGCAGTAAAGGTAAAGCCTGCTGACTTTGCATCACTCATTAACCTTTTGGGACAAATTCATAGCTGGAGATCAGAAGCATCGTTCATCTCTCAATTCTCCTCAGGCTTGGCAGGGCAGGCACGCAGACCCAGCAGATGACACAGCACCCAGCAGTTCTATGCCTGCTGCTTCACAGGGCAGCAGGTCCTTCTAATTCCACCCCACACACCCAGTGACTTCCCCTTTCTGTGTTTAGTCAGACTCCTACCTTTTACCAGAGCCTCTCCATGACAGTTTCATTGCCTTTCATGCTCAAGCTGGCTTCTTGAAACCTAAACAAATGTGCCCAGAAAGTTAATGTTCTGCAGCCAATGATTGGTGGTGTGCAATGGTCCTTCTTTTAGGTCTTTTACAGTGTGGTGTGTAAGACAATTGGCTTAGCCAGGTGCATGTCTGACAGGCTCACACATACAACAACCCTGCATGAAGCCTTTCATGTCATCCTCTACTGCATTGATACCCTATGTTTCTTTGTTCCTATGGACCGTGGGTGTAACTCTGTGGTATGACATACCATGTTGTTTTGACATTGATGTTTTCATGAAATGATTAAAATTTTTACCTAAAATCACCTACAGGATGCCTGCCAGACTCTTCTAAAACGCCTTGAACCCATCATAAACAAGAATCCTCGTGGAACTTGGAAAGATTGGGTGAGACTCCTGGTTCTCTAAGTTTTATCACAGAAACTAGTGAGTGGGGGGAGAGAAATAAGTGTGAATTATGTTTATTCAAGGCACTGTCATTGCATAATGACAACTAAAAGGCCCCTCTGCATGTGACACATGGAGATCCACATGGAGTGGGAGAAGTAGTGTACCCAGGGATGTTTCTAATCCAGAGAAAGATGGTGTCCATGCAACAACTCCTGCCTTAAGCTACAGTTAATGGACGTTTCAGCCTGTGGAACCTAGGTGCTTTATGGATGACAGCTGTGTGTTCTTCTCCTTTGGATTCACTCTGACTACAATACAGAAACAATGCTGGCAGTATTCTGTGACGCTCGGGTAGACACTCATTTAGAGACAGGAAGCCAGAGGTGGAGAGATGTCTCAGAGATTAATAGGACTTGTTGCCTTCCAAAGGATGTGGGTTCAATTCTCAGCACCCACATGTCAGCTCACAACTGTCTGTAACTGCAGTTCCAAGGGATCTGATGCCTCTTTCTAGCCTCTGCAGGAAGTACACACACAGTCATGCCTTCAGGGAAAACACTCATACACATAAGAATAAAATAATTTATAAAAAAACAAATGGCAGCCAAGCATAGGGATATGTTCTGTACAAATCATAGACACCAGTGAAGGGGAAACATTCACCTGCTTCCTGATACCCTGGCAGTCTAGTTGGAGAAGACAGACATTCTTTTTGAGGGTGGGGTGAAAGCTGAAAGATCAGAGAAGCAGAGCCGTCAACAACTAGAGACGTCTTACCTCACAAAAATCCCAGACTGAATGGGAGCTCTCCTGTCTCTACGTATTCTCACACCAAATGAGCAAGGGATCCTATCTCCACCTACCTGATACTACTCTCTCGACCTCTTGAATCTGGGACTAAAGGTGTGTGCCTCCCATGTGCTGGGATCAAAGGCATGATCCTCCCTAGTGCTGGGATTAAAGTTATGAAGCCACCACCACCTGGCTCTGTTTTTCTTTTAGACTGGTTCAATCTCATGTAGCCCAGGATGACATTGAACTCCTGATTTTCCTGCTTCCTTCTCCCAGGTGCTGGGATTAAAGGTGTGTGCCGCCACTGCCTGGTCTCTATGGTTAGCTAGTGGCTAGCTCTGCTCTCTGATCTCCAGACAAGCTTTATTTGGGTAGACAGGCATTATGTAGTCAACTAGCTAACTTCAAAATAGCAGATAGTTAAGTGTAAGATGACATTGAAAATACCTTCATAAACCCCTGGCATAGCTGTCATGCCGACTGCTCTAGATTATTAGTTCAACAATATCAAAACACAGATTTGGCAAAGTTGTGTGCAGAGTTCTGCTTGGGAAGACCCCAGGGCTGAGGGTGCTCACCATGAGGATGTGTGGTTAGAATGCTGGAGGCTCAAATCAGCCACCTGTATCTCACCCAAAGGCTCCTGCTATTTCATAAAGGCTCATTATGTAATTAATAAGTATGGAGTGAACTGGATGGTGGTGGTACACGCCTTAACCCCAGCATTTGGGAGGCAGAGGCAGGCTAATCTCTGAGTTCCAGGCCAGCCTGGTCTACAAAGTAAGTTCCAGGACAGTCAGGGCTACTCAGAGAAACCCTGCCTCAAACAACAACAACAATAGTAATAATTTTATTACAATTATCATTATAGAACATGAAACTTCTAAATCTGTTCTGGGCATAGCTGTTTTTCCCCTGCTTGGTGTTGCCTGAGCCCAGAGAGGTTAAAAATGGCTTTCTGGAGAAAGTTGCTTCCAGATGCAATTCAGGACCATGCCTCCTTTGCCCTCCATTGCAAGCTGCTGCCGTTGAGCCAGCCTTCCTCCATAATGCTGCACCTTTCCCCACCTCTCTTGAGACTTTTGACCTAACCTTTGTTTTGTGTTTAGCAATCAATCATATGTACTTGCAGAAACAGGAGACCATTGGATGGAAGTGGCACAATTTAGCAAAATCAGTTCTCTCAACTGAAACTGTTATGGATACACAATATAAAATTAAACATCGAACCATTGTGTCCAAATATTGACCATGTTAATAAGTCTTGCCAGATGACTGAATAGATATCTTCATAAGAAGGATGTGGATGGAGATTATATTTCAGTTTATGAGCATAACATGCCAGGGCAGACATTTATTATAACCACATGCATGGAGCAAATGCTGCTATATACACAGTGAGCCATGAATGTTTGTGTAGATGGAGACCGTGACAGCAGAAGGTTCATTGTGAGCCTTCCTTGCTACTGCTATGCTTATCTTGTGGTACAGATGAAACCAAGTCCTGAGCATCTTTTGAGAGTCCTTCTTACATCATGTTCTGCTGGTCCCTCACAGGCGCAGACTGCTTTTGACCAGAGCATCAGTCTCTCGGCTGTTGGCTATTTCAGGTAAAATAATCCCTTGATCCTATGTCATGGACAAGACCAGTATGAGCCTAAGGAAGAATTTCAGTTCTATTTGCAATTTTGGCCCCCAGCCTGACTCACTACCTTCAGTTAGCCTGCTGTTGGAATGAACATGTATCTGCTCATTAATCCAGGTATCCAGAAGACATTGTGGAGAAAATGGTTCACACAGCTGCACTTGATTGAGTGCTGATTTGGGTCATAATGTGGCCATGATGTGGCTTTCTGGGAGCTGGTGCTTGTAATCCACAGCTGTAGCTTTTGGTTGAAAGTGGAATTTATTCCTAAAGTTAAGAAACAAGAGTAGGGGTGAAAGGTAAACAAAAAATTCAATACGCATCTCCTGTACTGGCAAAAAGGAGACCTGACTAACTGTGGAGCCCTGAGAACCACAGTCTCTAGGAAACCTTTGGTTGAATGTTTTCATGAGGAGTAAATGCCAAGACCGGGCAGAGTCTTAGCTTATGTTCTCACCTGCCTGGGACTCCTACTGGCTATCAGGAATACACACTGGAAGTGTTTTTCAAGGCCACCTGCAGGCTGGGGAAACAGAGGCGATAGGGACTAGAACTTAGCAGGCTGCTGGCCTAGACATCTTTGACATTCATGGGGACTTCTTACAGAAGTGTGTGGATGGAGCAAGCATAGAGCCTGGTGGTAGTGCCAGCTATTGGGAGCCACTGGGCCTGATTCCTTACACACAGCTCTGAATCATGGAGCCAGAGGGAGACAAAGCAGGCAGACAAGCCCCTGTGAAACAGTGTTTGCTTAAGACGCAGGTTGAACCCCCAATCAGATGACTATAGAAGAGGTGTTCATTGGCCACATTGGGCATGTGTTATGTGCTGGCATGTGCCTGTACATACATGTACTCTTCTGAGTGGCCCAGTGCCCTTTGGGCTGGTTTAATCATCATCTGTGATTGCAGAACTTTATCACTAACAGTGCTTCTCAACAATTCTCTTTCTTTCAGGGGTTATGAGTCGGACATAGACTGGGAGAAAGGGGAAGGCCATCCCTTTGAGTATTTTGTGTATGGAGCTGCCTGCTCAGAGGTTGAAATAGATTGCCTGACTGGGGACCACAAGGTTAGTCCCACCTAGAAATGTCTTCTGACTCTATTTCTGAGATGCTTCAACTCCACACATGCATCCTACTGGAAGGCAGTTTGGTCTGTGGGAGCTGCACCATGCATTTGCCCTAAGGGGGATCTCTCTGTATTACTAGATAAAAACAAAACCCATTACTTGCCTTAGTGGTATAATGTCTTCTGTGGGAACCAATATCCTTTCTCTTAAGTGTTTTCTGTTTATACTTTTAACTGCAAATAGGAAAGAATCCACTTCAAAACAGCCTGATTAGGGCTTTCATGTAGATTGTTGTCTCAACTAGCCATCCTGACCTCTTATGAGAATGTCTGAGTGTGATGTTCTTGAAGGACACCATAGGTGTCCACAGCCTGTTAACAAGGACCAAGGGCCACCTGAGGAAGGCAGTGGCCAAGCAGGCCCTCTCCTTGAACAGCTACAGTGTCATTACATATTTTGAGGGTATGTGTATTCACCCTCATGTATATACATACACAACAGTTTCAAGGCCATGCCTTCCTTTCTTGTACATGGCATTTACTGGTACAGAAAACACTCTTGGCCATTGTATAGTTAATGGTCACAGATACATGAAATGTGGTTGCAGCAGCATTCACAAATGCCATGTGACTAAGATACTAGTTTAGTGATAATCTGCCCTAAAACCTACCCAGAAGCAAGCTCCAGCTTTTGATCTTTCCAAATACATTTTGTGTCTCTATTCTTAGATATTTATCATGTATAATTTTATTTAATATATCCTTACCGTATATTTTCAAATTATAGTCAGCCTTATCTGTGAAATAGCCTTATTGAGCCTGCCTCCTAGAATATCTAATTTGTCTAGATTCTCACTCAGACTGTTGTCTCTTTGGGAAATGTGGGCCTGAGGCTAGGGACTTGGAGTGATACTCCAAGCATGACTCTTAGGTTAGAGTAGCTCTCCCACTCTATGCTGACAGTTCTTTCATATTAACTAACTTCTGAATCCCTTTGCCCTCAAATGAGTTATTGAAAGAACCTGTTTAGATATTCTTATGTCTTAGCCTGGTTAAGAGCTAAGAACAATAATAACTAACCAGGTGTTGGTTCAGGATTTTGTTGTTGTTTGTTTTAGTGTAATTGGAACTTTCTTGTCTCATTTATGCATTTGATGGAGGGTTATAAGCTGCTAGACACTCATAGTTACCAAAGGTAGAGCTGGAACAGTGGCTCTGAGGTTATTGTGTAGCACTAGTGACAATTAAAGCCATGGGCTGTTGTGAAAAGCAGAAGCAGGCTTTACAAAGAGAATTACAGCACAGTGGGGAATTAAGGGAAAGTGAGAGGCTCTTCAGAGTGGAGGGGTTCCCAAGAGGGGAAAAGCCACAAAGCTCTCTGGGCAAGGGTTTTTTGTTTGTTTGTTTGTTTGTTTTACAAGGTCCTAGCAGAGAGTGGAGGAAGTCTGGGTAACTGTGTGAGATTGTTAGCTACTGTGAGTATCATAGGCTGAGCCAGTGGAAGGTCCCCCACATACTATGAATGTCCTTCTAGCCCAACCAGGCAGATGTTCATATGGTACCTATCCAGTTAGGATAATTTAAGTCTGCACCCACCTCTGTCCATCTCTGACACATGCCTTTTAGCTTTGGGCCTTGACTTTCTGCTCACTGTCATCCCTGACTGGCATTCCAGGACCAGCATTCCAGGTGACTTGCTGGGGGTTTTCTAGATTATGGTCCATTCAATTACATTTCCATGACCAGCTTGCAGCTCTAACACAACAGAGAGTTAAGTCCCTTATTGCTACCCAGATGTAGCTGCAGCCTTCCTCAGTTACCTAATGCTTGGCTCCCTACTATGGAGTAGTCTGGGATGGTCTTCTGAGTGGAGGTTTCTTGTGAGAAGCCACCTTTACACTTAGTCTGTAGCAATCAGCTGCATTAGGCATTAGGCATTAGGCATTAGGCAGCCCAATGTCCTGTCACTCCTCTATGTATTTAATTCGGTTATCTCATCTCCGGATAGAATCCCTCTTACTCAGCATTCTCGGTGTTCCAGACATTGCTGTTTTCATTCTTCATCATCTCTTTAATCCCAGCCTTTGTTCTCACATCAACATCATGGGTCCTTTGCTTTGCTACCTACAGAGATAGCTCTTGCATCAGTAGGAACTTTTAAGAAGTTTCAACTTTCATTGTAGGTGTTGTGGGTGATCCAGCTTGAACACTCCTTGAGGGAGGGGGTGAAAAGACACAGCATCAAAGAAGCAGCCACTGGGAGTCAGTGAGTAGCAGAGCATGCTGCAGACTCATTCATTAAGGAAGTTAGACCTGCCTTTATACTCCTTCCCAAGGTTGCATTGGCTCAGGTAGCTGACTGTGCTGCTTGTCCTTTCTCATTGGTGTTTCTTCATCAGCAGTCCTTGGGTATAGAGGCAGGCTTGGCCCAGGGAGGAAGTACCTGTCAAGCATGCTCATATGGGCTGGCCAGGACACCTGGGCAGGGTGACTGCAGCTTGGGTAGGCTGGTCTGCAGATTCTCCTACAAGAAGGCACCACCCACAGACAAAAAGCCAGCCTACCAGAAGTTGTAAGCGTTTTTTTTTTTTTTTCATTATTATTTTTATTTTTCATTTACTCTTTGGCAACCTGCCAGCTGGCTGCCAAATAAATAATTATTCTTGCTTTTGAAAGCCCAGCCTTAGCTAGGTTTATTTCTTTTCTAGCTTAAATTATCCCATTTCTCTTTAGCTACATTTGCCTCTAGCCTTTTTACCTTACTTTCTTCTATAGCTCTTTATTTCCTTCTCACTCTGTGTGTGTCTGTGTGGCTGTGTTGCTGGGCTATTCGCCCCTGGTGTCCTCCTCTCCTCCTTTTCTCACTCCTCCCTCTTCCCTAGATTTCCCTCCTGTTTAGTCTCTGCCTACCAGCCACACCCATTTCTCTCTCCTACCTAGCTATTGGTCATTCAGCTCTTTGTTAGACCAATCAGGTGTTTTAGGCAGGCAAAGTAACAGAGCTTTACAGAGGTAAACAAATGTGGCATAAAGGAATGCAACACACCTTTGCATCATTAAACAAGTACTCCTCAGCATAAACAAATGCAAAACACCTTAAACTAATATTCCCCAATAAGAAGTCCTCTCTGGAGGCCTGTTTCCTAGCCACTCTTATGTTGGTAATACTGCCTTCCTGAAAAATTTCCCAGATTTTGAACCTACATCTATACCTTAGCTACCTATTGCTAGGTAGCAAATCGTCCCCAAATTAGCAACTGAAAACAATACGTGTTTATTGGCTCATATCACCTCTGAGGGCCCAGTATTTGAGACAACTTGGTTTATCTCGGTAACTCTAGCTCAGGATTTCTCATGAAGCGATGGCCAGGCATTTGGTGGGGGCTACAGTCATAGAATCTGCTTTTAACCACCATCACATTGTTGTTAATGAGAGGCTGTGGTTTCTCCATGGCTGTTAGCCAATTACCTCCTTTTCTTGAATAATCACTTTGTCCACTTAGCATGCCAAGGACATAGTAGCTGACTTCCTTGAGATTTATGGGTTCCAAAGAAATGTTGAAAATAACACTTGTGGGAGAGCCAATGAAGCAGAAACCACAATCCTTTCTAATCTTGTTTCAGAGTGACGAGCCATTGTCTCTGCTGTAGCCTAGTGGTCACAATGACTGGCTTTGCCAGAGGTTGGTTAGAGGGATGTGCAAGTGGAGGGATTCATTAAGTGCCCTCTTGGAAGCAGACTACCCAGTCAGTCCCATCAGAAGACAGTGATGTAAGCCCATGTCTTTAACAAGTAGAACCTTCACTAACATTAGACTTTAGAGTTCTCCTCTTCATCTCCCATGGAGGCCACTTGTCTCCTAGAAGAGCAGTCAGACTATATCAAAGAGAACTTTTCATTTCATTTTGTCTTTTGATAAAGAAAAGTAATTACCTGAACTTTAATTGCAGCAAGGCGTTCTGGATCATTATCTAATTTGCTGGAAAAAAATTGTTAATTGGAAGTCTCAGACCAAATAAGAATGCCTGTGCATTTTTGTTTGTTTGTTTGTTTGATTGTCAAGATAGGGTTTCTCTGTATCAGAGCCCTGGCTGTCCCGGAACTTGCTTTGTTCACCAGATTGCCTCTGCCTCCTGAGTACTGGGATTTAAGGCAGGCACCACCACCACCCAGCTGTGCTTTTTCTTTGCTCCTTAGGAATCATATATAGAGTGTGTCAGTGGGCATCATTCACACCAAAAAATCTACAGATTGTTAGAGGACAGAAGTGTAACCAGCACATGGGCAGGGCCTGCTGTTTTCTACACTTTTAGGTTAGCAGAAAGGAAGTCATAAGAGTGGATTTGTTCTTTGTCCACCCACAAAATGGAAGCTCTACAGCAATGCAGAGCAGTTTAAACTTTTTTTGGCCACCACTTCCTGAACTCTATTACGAGAAGATCCATAGTCTGTAAGGTTAAGATATCTTTATTTAGATAAACACCAGCCAAACACAAACTAGAGCGTGCCAGGGGCAGCAAGGCAGGCAGGCCAGAGAGAAGGGCTCCCATGTGCCTTGCAGCCCCTTGAAACTTTTCACGAGGCGTCCTGACCTCACCTTGACCAGCCCTGATGGGCGTGGTCAGGCACACCTGTGGCCAGCTTCTAGCACGTATGGCTTACATTGTCCCCTACAGAACTCCATGGTTCAACAAATGTCACTGAGCTGGACAGACTCCATGTATTAGCTTGGATAGCAGCCACAGAGTTTTGCAACAGGGATTTTGAAGGCCAAAGATATTTGTCTCTTGTGTCAGCTAATCAAAAGTGAGTGAATTCTTTTATTTCCTTGGAAAACAAATAGTGCTTAATCTGGGGTTAAGAGTGCTTGTGAAGGGGCTGGAGAGATGGCTCAGTGGTTCAGAGCCCTTACTGCTCCTGCAGAGGATCCGGTTCAGTTCCTCGTATGCACATGATGGCCTACAACCGTCTGTAACTCCAGTTTCAGGTGACATGGCACTCTTCTGGCCTCCATGGGTACCAAACATGCACAGAGTGGCAATACACACTGAAACATGAAAGGAGAAGTATAGATTCAGGACTCCCAAGACCAAGTTCTCAGCACAAAGGAGATTTATTTGTCCTAGAGGGACAGAGGACAGGGAATAAGAGACAAAGACAGGACACTGAGGACAAGGAAGGAGAAGGAAACAAGGGGAGAGGGGGTAGGGGTCCCAGAGGACAAAGGACTGCTCTGGATAGAAAGCTCACAGACATGACACATAGGAAAACAGGGGTTTATAAATGGACAAGGGGGAAACCCCATGATAGGATTAGTGTTAATTGGGTGAGCCAAAGAGGAATTTTGATTCCTGGACTTCAATAGTTTGACAGCTGGACTTTAATAGTAAGCCTCAGAAGGTGGAAAGGGCCCAATAAGGGAATAGATCTTGGTGGCTAGCTTTAGGAATGCAATCAATCTAATAGTTTTTAGCAAGGCAGAAGGAATCTGGGAGAAGGGCAAAGCTGACCATAATCCTTCCCATACTTAAAGGCAACACTCATCCACATAAAGTAACAATAAATCATTCTCTTTTTTAAAGAAATGCAGAATGGGTATGGGGAATGGAGCTCAAATGGTGGATATTTGCCTGGGACCTTGGGTTCATGTCTCATCACCACACAGGCCAGGCTTGGTGGTGCAAGCTTTAATCAATGGGGAGGAGGGAGTAGGAGAATCAGAAGCTGAAGGTCATCCTTGGCTACACATCACATTCAAAGCCAACCTGGGCTGCATGACACCCTATCTCAAAACCAAAGGTTTTCAGATGATAAACTTTGTCATATAATATAATTTTTGTTGCTTCTTTATCATGAATTAACATGGTCAGTGCAAAGAAAGACTTTGTCCCATACCTGGTAAGAGGTGTTTCTCAGCTTTTTCTCTGTGTGTTATGTGCATTAAACTATGGGTTTTTTGTTGTTGTTGTTTTCTAGACTATCAGAACGGACATTGTGATGGATGTTGGACACAGTATAAACCCAGCCCTTGACATAGGCCAGGTACATGTAACTATTTTGCTTTGTTTACTGTTTGTGGGACAAAAACTGCTATGAGGTCTGAAGAGGAGCCATCCAATTGCTGGTCACTTGAGAACCTTACCCTAGTAGGTTGGATCTGTTAAATTCAGGGAAGAGTTTCATCTGCCTCATTGGCAGAAAACATGACACTATGTGGACAGGCCCTGTGAGGACTCATCTGGAGTTATCATTGCAATGGCTAAGCAATGACTAAAACCCGAGTCCTCCGACTTGGAATCTAGCACTGAATGGAACATACAGAAATGTTTTTAAGTGGGCTCCTGGTGACACTCTCCCAGACACCCTGGAAGGCCCTTGACTGCAGTTCTCAAGGGAAGACAAGCAGCAAGCAGTGGAAAGGCACTTGGATGTATTGCCTCATAGGTAGTCGTTCCTTCTTTTCTCTCAGATTGAAGGCGCGTTTATTCAAGGAATGGGACTCTACACCATAGAGGAGCTGAGTTACTCTCCCCAGGGCGTTCTGTACAGCCGTGGCCCAAGCCAGTACAAAATCCCTGCTGTCTGTGATGTCCCCACAGAGATGCACATTTCTTTCCTGCCCCCATCTGAACACTCAAACACCCTGTATTCATCTAAGGTGAGCTCTGCTCCATGACTAAGTCCCTGCTTCCTTGATGTCTGTGGGGTGGACAGACATTGGTCTGCTTGGTTGTTCAGTATCTTTACTGAGATTACAAAAGGAGTCCTTATTGAGCATTCTAATTATATAGTAACTTAATGGCATGGTAAAAATTATTCAATTATTCCCAATCTGCCTAGCATGAACTATCAGACTCCATTTGACTTTTTATATTGCAATAATCATCTTCATGCCTATCTGTGCTATATTTAAGATAATTTTATAAGCTAGAATTCTAAATAGTTAAATTATTTTTAATTACAATTTACTTATGGTGGTCTATAGATTATATTTGTATATAATCATTATATGCTGCATGTATGTACATATTCACGTATGAATGTACCTTCAGAGAGGGAAGCACAATTTGTGTCATAACACACATGGCTCATTTCTCTCAAGGGTCTGGGAGAGTCTGGGTTGTTCCTGGGATGTTCGGTATTTTTTGCCATCCGTGATGCAGTGAGCGCAGCACGAGAGGAGAGAGGCATATCTGGACCATTGAGGCTCAACAGTCCACTGACTCCAGAGAAGATCCGAATGGCCTGTGAAGATAAGTTCACAAAAATGGTATGTTACACTCAAGAGAAAAAAAAAAACATAAAGTCTTTATTTCTATCCCATTTACATGGCCAAGTTTCTTTAAGCCAGTGCTGTGTTTTTTCCTCAGAAATAAACATGACAGGAACTCCTTAGGGTACCTGAGAGGGACAGAATTGCTCTTGAACTTGTGCCCCTTGACTGTGTCTTTTCATCAGCCTGGCCTTGCTTGGTCTCCTGTGTGCTCAGGTCGTTATCACTTGAGGGGAACTGAAGGTTCATTCTCTCAGTTTCGTTTCCCTGAGTCAGGCCTAGGAGTTCAAGGGCTGTAGCCTGACCCTGGGACACCTGGCCAAGAATCAAGGTCACTCTGCTATATCCCCACTGTTGCCCAAGCAGACACTGGCAGTGTGATGGAAAGAGTATGCCACAGTATCGTTCCTGTTGAGCACACACCCCCTGCCTCTGTGTGTCTGTACAGCAGCATGACTTGTGATCTGAGATTGTAAGGGAAGCCATACCACTCCTACCTCTCTAGCTACAAATTCCTGTCTCTCATGGGGGTGTCTCTCCTACACTCCTTCCACACAGTCTCTGCAGAGGATCCAGGACCTCACAAAGAGAAACAGACACTGACTCCATGTTTCCCTAGTCCCTCTCCACATGCATTTGAAAGCTCTCCATCCCTCTGCTAGACCCTCTCCACGAGGCCTCCCTACATCACACGATGTCATTCTCTGATCTCATTGGCCCCGAAGCCTGTGGTGTTTTCGCCTTCACTATCTTCTCCTATTTTTAACCTAAGTCACAAGCACGTTTCTGAGTTACAAACATCCAAATTTGCTCTTTCCCTCCAGATTCCGAGAGATGAACCTGGATCCTTTGTTCCCTGGAACATACCTGTGTGAGCCAAATGCAAGCTTCTGGAGAGACTGGCTCAGCTCCACTGCAGAATGTAACTCCTGGTCTGTCTGCTGGAAGGAAGATACTAACTATGAAAGCCAGATAATCACAGTCCAGAATCAACCATAGCATTGCTTTTCATGAAGCTGATTTGGAGATTACTCCAGACACACCTAAACAATTATAAGTCATATTTTAAATTGCACAAATATTAAATTATTTCCTTTTAGGAGAGAATTTATAATTCTGTCCCTTGGATCTGTCCAGCTAAATATAACACCTTGTCTGTGCCTCACTTTTGGTTTGTATACACCAGCAAAAACTATACTAATTATTGAATGAGTATGTTATAAATAATTTCTTTCCTATTGTGAACTGTAATTTCATTTCTTTCATTCGTCCCTGAGAGCCATCACCCCACTTTCTTTGTCAGGACAGATACAGGCCCCATATCTAGGACCACAGGGGTCAGGAGGAGAGAGATAAATGAACATCATCAAACTACAAAGATGGCCACAACATTCTCACGCTTTCATCAGAAGGGTGAGGAAGGAGGGTGTAATTTCCAAGGCCAGCCTACAGTACATAGCAATAACCTGTCCCAACACAACCAGGGCTAAGGATACATTTATATATAGAGAAAGACCCACAGAATAGGTGAAAGAATTTACAAATATATGACAAAAGTATTGTGTGCAGAACACTTACAACTTAGTAGTTAAAGAACAAATAACTCCAGTTTCTCTTAATGGACCAATAAATTGAGTAGACCAAGATGTTTAAATGGACAATCAGCACATGAGAAGATGTTCAGCTTTGTTTGACCTTGAGAAATGTAGGTCAAAGCTGTAGTAAGATGCCACTCACCTACACTGTGACAGCAGTAGTTGCAACTATGGACAATGGCAGGTATTAGTGGGACTTGGAGAGACTAGAGGCTCTATTCATTGCTGGAGGGATGTACACTGTGCAGCCACTGGAGAACAGTCAGACAGGTAAGACATTAGACAATTTCCACGTGATTACTATAGTATTTAAAACATGTTCAGGATAAATCTACACACACACAGAGCATTCACAGCACCCAAAAGGTAGGAAAATATTCACCCAAATGATAATGTTTAATAAATAAAATGCAATACATTCGCAAAAGTGAATTCATTCAGTCCTTCAAAGGGATAAAGTACTGATACACACTACAGGAGATATGACAGGTGAAATCATTATATAAAATGAAAGAAAATACACAGACAATGACTTCTATATTCCACCTATACAAAAGGTCTCAAATTGGCAAGTTCTCAAAGATGAAGTAGATGAGTGGTTGCTACGGCCTGAGGGGACAGAGGAACTGGGAGTGACTGCTCATAAACGTGGGGTTTTCATTGGTGGAGATATCTGTAGGGAAATCAACAAAATCATATACATTGTTCCAGTTTGCCATCTGTTACTTTTATAAATACCATGGCCAAAAGCAACTTGGAAGGAGAGGGTTTATTGACTTACACGTCCCAATCACAATTGATCATTAAGGGCAGTAAGGGGCAAAACACAAGCTGAAGAAGAGGCAGAAATTGTGGAAGAATGCTGCTTACTGGCTTGCTCTCCATGGCTTGCTCAGCCTGCTTTCTTTTTCCCCCCAGGGATACCAGCACAGGAGTGGCATTGCCACAGTGGACTCCATCAATCATCAATCATGAATATGCCCCACAGCCTTGTCTACAGGAAATCTGATGGAGGCATTTTCTCAACTGTGGTTCCCTCCTCTCAGCTGATGCTAAGGTCTGTCTTATTGCCAAAACCAACCAGCACAGACCCTAAAAGATTAGCAGTGGATTTTATTCCAGACATTTCTCAAGCACCTGTGGAGACAAACAGACAGCTTGAGGAAGACGAGACTGGCAGTCTGTAGAGCTTGGGACAAGGACTTGACCTTTGAATCTGAATGAATGCAGGGAACAGAAGTATCGTGAAGCATCCTCCAATTTTAAGGGGTCTCACTGAAGCCTGTCATGTCAGATGGCTGAGGACAGGGAAAACAGGCTGGGGCAGTTCTCTGCTTTCTTCCATCTCCCTGAGAGCTGCCTCCCTTGTGGACCTTTGCTGGCTTCTCCTGCAGCCCATCCCTCCAAGTGGAGGCCTCCTGTGGGGGTGCCTTCATTCTCCTCACCCCACACACTGATGCTGGCAGTGACCATTACTCAACCTTAGAAATGGTTTTGCTGCTGAGGCTCAAATTCTGAACACAGTGCTCTAATGGTGACCAGGCAGACATTCAGACAAGGTCTGTCGATGCTGCCTGGCAGGAATGTGTTCTATATACCAGACAGACCTCACACTCAGGGGGATCTTCTCCCGTTGACCACTAAGGGCTGGCATCACAAGCACATGCCACCACTCACTCCAAGTCTTGCTTTCGATTGTGACTTGGATGTCTCAGACTGCCAGGCCTCATGTGTCCCAAACAAATCTCCCAATAGTAGAACTGTCTCTGAGTTGCTAGCCAGAAATGGAGAGTTAGAACTGCCCAATTTGTGAACACATCTTTGTAGGCATGACAGCCTGTCAATCCCCCTCAGAAACAGTTCTTAATGACCTCACTATTTCTTTAGCTGCTGTCACTGCAAGCCACCTTCATTTGCCCCTGGCTATTGCAATAGTTGCCTCTTGTTTTTCTTGCATTCATTTTGCGTCTCTTCCCAATTGTTCTTCACTTTGAAGCCAAAGTTTTGTGTGGACTTATGGAGACACATCTTCATCCATTCTGGACACATCAGAGGCCACACGCACATGCTATGCTCTTGCCTATTAACCTCCAGTGGCATCCTACTCACCTCATTGGGATCTTATCCTGGATCCCTAGGGTGCATATGTCCACTATGTGAGTTATCCCCTGTCTGTTGTCCAATCTTGTCTCAGCATCCTGTCTTCTGTCATGGATTCCTCTATCCTGTCCCTTTTTATTTGGAGCTGCTGCCTCTTTCCTCTGCCATGAAAATGTTCTCTTTTCCACCCCTTCCTGTATCTGACTGCCTACCTCTCCGCAGTGTTTCTTGTTAGGATGCAAGTCCAGAGGCAGCGAGCAGGATGGACCTAGAGCATCCAGAGTAAAGAAGAAGAGGGAATGGAAAGAGGAGGAAGGCAGTGAGCACGTACTCAGACCCCAGATATACACCACCGTGTGTCAGCATCTCTCTCCCTCAGCGCACACCTTGGCTCATGGCTCAGTTCACACTCTACCATGGAACAGAGTTGAATGTCCCTGCTGACAGTGTGATGAACACAGAAAGAGACTAAGCTTGGTTCACAGGTTGTTTGGCACCAGATGTAAAAGTATAGATGGAATGGCAAGTATGCATGACAGTCTCTCTAGCGGTTGGTGAGGGACACATTTCCCCAATGGACAGAGTTTTAAATGGTGCATGTGGTTATTACCTTCTTCTGGAAAATGCAAGTATATCCCATGGATAAAATAACTATGGGGTAACAGATGGTTTGGCCAGGTGTGCAGAGCATAGGAAGAGACAGGTGGGGAGTGCAGACGAGAGGATGGGAGTGAGCATGACATATGAGAACTTTTATATCACAGGTATCTTAGTTACATTTCTATTGCCATGATAAAATATCATGGCAAAGGCAACTTATAAAAGAAAGCATTTAATTTGAGGCTCATGGATCCAGAGGATAGTAGAGTCCATGACTATCATGGCAGAGAACATGGCAGCAGGAACAGGCCTGGAGCAGTAGCTGAGAGCTTAGATATTGAGACAACAAGCATGAGGTGTGTGTGTGTGGGGTGCTAACAAGGGATGCTGTGGTTTTTTTAAACCTCAAAGCCCACCTCCAGTGATATATCTCCTCCAACAAGGCCACTCCTCCCAATCCTTCCCACACAGTTCTGCCAACTGGAGAACAAGCATTGCAATACATGAGTGTATGGGGGCAATATTCACTTGAACCACCATAAAATGTTGGCACCCCAAAAAAGCTTCCATGATAACAGTTACCTATCAAGCAACTAGACAAAATGTCATGGTCTCTCTCCTCCTCAGTTAGCCCAGTGCTGGCACAGGGTGTGATAGGTTGTGACAGCCCTCACATTCCAAGGACTCACATTTACACTTGTCGTCTGAAGATCTCGTGAAACAGTGTGTCAGAAGAGTCTGCAGCCAAGTGTGAGTGTGGAGCCCACCCACATCACTCGGGCTCTGTGCTACCAGACACACTCAAGTCTGACAGAGCTGCAATGGCCTAGCAGAGACACAGCTGGAGCTTCAGGTAGGAAGTCCCACCTGTCAGGAAACAGAGGTGTGATATAAAATAAAAATATTCACTAAATATATAGCAAGTGGATAATCTTACATTAAGAAGAGAAATGCCAGTAGCTTCCTTGAATAACCTGAGCTCTCTGGTGCATCATGCAGTACTCTGTTATTATCATTAATTTAAAGAAAACATTAATCTGGTACCATAAGACAGCTTGGGTCCCATTTCCACCATCCTTTCACCACAGATCTTGGCTGAAATGATAAAGTCTTCCTGGAGTGCAGTCTCCTCACCCACACATTAAGGACATTGGGACTTTTCACTGAACCTCTTTGTGGATCCAAGTGTCCTGAGCCTGACAGCTGGCTGGGGAATAGTACAAAGTCCCGATGCTGCCAGATGTTGTTGAAGGAGTTAGCTATGCCTAATATGCACCTCTACATGCATAAGAAATTTGCTACAAATTCTATGCTTCTCTACACCAAGGCCAATTCAAGATAAAAGCCAAAGATGCCAGTGGCTATTGTGAATCTTGTATCCTCATATCATCCCTTCCCAGAGAGGGGCACAAAAACCAAAATGAGCACTTGGTCTGGCTTCAGGGTTACATTTGCTAGTCCGGCAAGAAAGCAATCATCCAGAGGAATTTTCTGTAACTCTTTTATTGATAATATCCAGTGCTATTGTTATTCTAAAAACAAATTCAAAGCTGGGTAGTGGTGGTGCACACCTTTAATGCCAGCACTCAGGAGGCAGAATCAGTTAGATCTCTGTGAGTTTGAGACCAGCCTGGTCTACAGAGCAAGTTCCAGGTCATCCAAGATAACACATAGAAAGCCTGTCTCAACAAAAAAAGTTCCTGAAAAAAAAAGTAGCTACCTGCAACATCGTGCTACCCCATGGTTCTCACCTGGAAAACAGTCTTCTCCCTGGAGTAGCAGGGTCATCCACTGTGTGGGAAACTCTGCCTAGCTTAGTGTGTGTGACTTAAGGGGCAGAACAACCTGAATCCGTGTGTACATGTGGACACAGTGCCAGATGATGTGTGGGGTGGACAGAGAATGCATGAAAGAGAGAGGATTAGGGGGTATGGTAAGTGTCTGAGGGGA